AATATCTCATATAATTTTTAATTTTTAAAAATGGATGAATATTTTTATATAATAATTCTATACCTCAATTTATATTTCGATAATTTACAAAAGATATATATATATATATATATATATATATATATATATATATATATAAAAGAAGAAGTGGGCGGAAAAACCGATGGAACGAGTGGCATATCTGGGCCGTGTTGGCCAATGACATGTGCTTTGCATGCAAGGCTGGCATGAGCGTTACGAATAATCAATGAACAAATATATCGAACCACTTTTCTTCCTCCTATTTATAAGACAAAAAACTTCTACGCCAATCTACTCTTGCCCTCCCTCACTTTACTACCTGGAACAAGAAGAACTAAGCGAGACAAATCATGGGTTTGCAGGTAAGATTAGTAGCCACCTTTTTTGTAATCTTCATTTCTTTTTTTTTTTTTTTTTTTTTTTTTTTTTACTTTTTTATTTCATTTTAAAGATTGTATATCTGTTCGTTTGCTTTTGTATGTGAAACTTTCGCAGTTGTTTTACTGAAATTGAGTTATCGGGTTCTCTCTGTGTGTGATGCTATTTGGTTGAGGAAAGATCTGTCGCTCAGATCTCTCAATTTCTGTTTATCCTGGTATTAGTTATATGCTTATTTGTATTACATTTGTTTTCTGTCATATCTATGTGACTCTCCATGAATTTGCTTTTCGATACCTGAAATTCTTTTTGTTTGTTCCCGTCGGGAAAATTTGGGTGTAATTTTGCTGGGTGAATAATTTCTTTTGGACATTTATGGACGGACTAGAATTGTTAGATGTATCTGTTGTTACCCCGTTCAAATTCAGGCCGATGATATGCTTATCGGGGATTAAGGTTTTGGATGGGCTTAGCGGTTGATGGAAGAATTAAACTAGATTGTTATCTAAATAAATAGTTAATTTCTAAACCTCATTGTTGCTTATATCAACAAATGAATTTCCAGTACTGGTGGGAATCCTGATGCCAAATGCTATTGATTCCTTCATGAATTCACTCGTCAGTAAAAATTTACCCTTTTTGCTGCTCATTTTGTTAATGGAATCTGGTATCTTTCATTGTTCTTTTTTTTTTTTTTTTTTTTTTTGGGTGGACAAGATTTGTATCAAGAATTTGAAATGTGTGTGTATGTGTTTGTGTGCATGTGATTGTTCTGGATCTTGTTAGATTGATGTGGTCCTTGCAGGAGGAATTCGAAGAGTATGCTGAGAAAGCCAAGACCCTGCCAGAAACTACAACAAATGAGAACAAGCTTATCCTCTATGGGCTATACAAGCAAGCCACTGTTGGTCCAGTGAACACCAGTTAATATGCCTTTTGTGCTTGCTTCTTTTTTATAACTTTCAATTTTACTTTCCTAGCCAAATTTATTGGTCCCCTAATTCCCTCAGTGTCATATAAGCAGGTCGTCCTGGAATGTTTAACATGAGAGACAGAGCAAAATGGGATGCGTGGAAGGCTGTTGAAGGTAAGAGATCCATTGGAAATTTGTAAACTAAGTTTACATATACTGATATACATATATTATACAATATATGTATTCTCTTTTTATGAGGTGCACCATACACAATGAGCCTTTTCTTGGAGAAGAAAAAGTTGAATGATCAGATGTTGGTGGTATATGGCAGGGAAATCCAGTGAAGAAGCAAAGAATGACTACATCACCAAGGTTAAACAGCTGCTGGAAGAGGCTGGTGCATCATCTTAGTGCCTCCATACCATGTATGCTATTTATGAACAATTGCATCTTATGTGAGGATATTGAAATAAATTGAAACAGACGTTCCTCATCTGTAACATGGTATTGTTATTTATTATCTTAATTTTTATGTGGACATTGTTTGGTCTTCTAGATTATTTGGGTGGGACGGGAGAGGGGTTTAAGTAATAGAATGAAATAGAAAGGAATTAGAAAGGAAGGATGGTGGAGCACAAGGGAAAGTAAAATGCTTATATTATATAATAATGAGAATGACTGAAGAATATATTCTTTTTTTTTTTTAGCAACAAGGGGAAGAAACTAATCTCAGCTAAATATTTAGGTTTCAACTATTTTCCCTTTCAATGATCATTTGGTTTGAAAACATATGAAGGAGTGGAATTAAATTATTCACACAAGAAATTAAATTTCAATAGATTAGTATATATATTACCAAGTATTGTAGGTACATAATAAATTTTGAATGTGTTGATATATAATAAACTTGATTGTTGGTTTTTGAATGACATATTTATTTATTTGTTTTTGACTTATTCAATAAACTGTTTGAAAATGGATTTGGCCGGGTATAAAAGTTAGAATAGAATTGGTCAGCATTTGGAAAATTACCAATTAGTTACAAAAAAAATTGTTGGACATATTATTGTTTTTTTTACTTTTTTTTTATTTTATTTTATTTTTTTTTATTCAATTTTTAAAAACAAATTTTCAACATTAAAAATAAGTTTTTCTTAAATAAAAAACTAAAAAAAAAATATGTTAGTGTATAAGTATATTGTTTTCTAAGTCTCTAATATTTAACATTTCAATTGCAAGGACATAGATTATATATGTTTAGTCTAAAAAGAAGTTTAAAAATACAATTTATTAATAGAAACTATTTGTCCTTTTAATTTTGAGAATATGCTTTTAAGTTTTAAGCATCCTCGCTTCATCATGATCAATGTGAATAAGCGGAAAAGCATGAATATAGCGTGTTCTATATAGCACGATCAAATTGGTCTTAAGATGGTTAGTTTGCATTTGGTTTGGGGATCGTTTATCATGCCATATACTTTATGTTTTCATATGCAACTAATAGGTCATTGACTGGTTTGGTACTCTTTGTTCTTTGGGTCAAGTTGTCTAAAAATACACGGAATGTACATTCTACAATTTCTGATATCTTTTTACTTGCTGATAACTTTGCATTTGATTCAATTCTCATTCTATTCTTACTTGATTCCCATTCTTGATTTTCGTATTGGCCTTAATTTGCCTATAGTTCAAACCTATTCTAGTTTTACTCCGGATAGTATGTTTAGTAGGTAGAGTTTGGTCTAAATACACTTATTATATTTCAATTCTATGATGATGCCCAGTGCATCTAGGTTGGATGATGGCGACTTGAATTTAAGCCTCATCTCCCATCCCGTCTCAAAAATGTCTATAATGGTAAATTTGTAACTCCATTCGTAATAAATCACAGAAATACTTGAACTTAAATTGGATATGAAATTGGTTTTGGAAGTAGTATGCTATTTCTGTTCACATATTTATTCCCTTTGTATTATCTTCTCATATATACTCCATAAAATTAAAGTTTGAACCAAACATAACCTAATATATAGAAGAAAAATATGTTATTTATTTGATACCTCATCCTCCATCTCTACATTGAAATCCTATGGGGTAGAAATTTAATTTTCTCTTTAATATTCTCATTCTTTATTTTCAGTTTACTCTTAATATATAGAATTATAAAATATTATCTGATCTCTCACCTTCCATCTCCTCCTTGAATTCCTTATGGGCAAGAATTCAATTTCCACTTCAATTCATAGGATTTGGATTCCCAGCCTAAAAGTTTTAAGGTCCTGGTGGAATGAAATTTAATATGCAAATCATGCTTTAATTCTATGTATGAAGATTAAAATAATTTTTTTCTTTTCTTTAATGTTAATATAAAGATTAAGTGTAGTAATCAAGTAGATACGTAATTTCCACTAGCAACCTTCTGGTATGTTTGAAAAGATTTTTAGGAATGCTTCTCTTACTATTAGACATTAACAACCTAAATAAGTTTTTTGCTCATTTTCAAGCCAGAGTACATGTTATGGTCAATAATGTGAAAAGCACAAGAGAAGGACCCATGGACCAGAAGCAAAAAACCATGGTGGCATTAAACTCCTTGTGGTTTTGGCTTATGTTTTTATCTGAGAATTCTTTAGGAAGAAAGCAAGATTGAAAAGTTCAGTTATAGCTGTCATGGGGATCGGTTATTTTTGTATATTTGATTAAATCAAATTTAACTCTGACAACCATATCTTTTTTGTGTTCTTACGAAGGAACTTGTTTATATTCAGAATGCATCAATTTTGCTTCAATGCAAGGTTTTCAGTATCATACTCCTTGGAGAAAAGTTTATTCTTTTCTTTGACTACTTTAGGGATTCCATTGAACATTTGTACAGGAAAGGGGATAGAGATTTCCTCCTCTGGCGTTTGATTATTTTCCTTCTCTTTTTTACAACACTTGCCCTTAATAATCTTTAAAACTGAGAAGATAATTAAGATAATAAATCAAACAACCATAGTTAAATTACAATAAGATTTCACTAATTACAAGTATAAAGAGAGAATTCTAATTTTTTGCTCTTCCACAGTCTCCTCCAACTCAATGTCATTCAACCTCGTATATTTATTT